AAAACTGTCATGATGAATCTCAGGGTTTTAAGAATAGGATAGAAATAAAAATACTCTGAAGTCATTTTCCCTCCTAGGAGACTCTCTTGTCATTCTTACGGCTATCAGAGGACCTGACAGCACATTGTAATTGTTCAAAGGAAAAGCAGTAAGAAGGCTAATAAGAATGTTAGAGGATAGTAAAAATGGCCAAGGCCTAATATCTGCAAGGTATATGGCCTACATCTCAATCCCTTCCCAGGCAAGTCTCCTCCAAGTCCTTTCCTCTGCTGTTCTGAGTGACAAAGGAGGAAGATGGAAATCTGCTCGGTCACCTGCCTGTGCCCCTTTGTGAAGTCCCCCATGGGTTCCTGGGCTTCCCCAACTCCTGCCCAAGTGTAAACAAACAATGGCTGCTGAGCACCCTGAACAGCACCACCCTGTGCTTGGCCACACAGGAAAGCATCTTATAATTCCAGCAAAGATCCACAGGGAGGGACATCTGGGGAGTAAATATGCTCCCATGTGCTGAGATCACTATATCTCATTACACCCGATTTTTAAAATGCTGATTCATTCATTATTTATAGTAACGAATCAGAAACTGAGATGGGCTGTCCCAGGAAAAGGGAGCAAAAATCCAGGGATAAAGAATGAAATGAAGAGAGGAGTCACTGATGTCACTTAGGTGACACAAGACTGAAGAAAACCACAGGGACCTGTGAGCATCACTGTGGCGAGCAGCTGAGGGTCCCCATCCCTTTGAACATGTAATAATCAGAGTCAACACTAAAATGTGCCAGGAGCTATTCTAAGTACTTACATATATTTATGTGTTTCATTCTCAAAATAATGTACAAAATAGGTGTCATTATTATCTTTTAAAGACGAATTAACTAAGGTACAAAAAATTTAAAGTAACTTGTCCAAGGTCATAGAGCTGTTACCATCCATTTACATTGTGCTTTTCCATGTTTAGGAAGTGCATCCCTTTGCTTCCAGCAAGTTTTCCGTACAGTACTTTATCTAGTAAATGCTATCTCTTTGAGCATTCATATTTCTTGACAAATTATTGAAAGCATTCACAAGTATGAATATAGCTTAATTCGTTTACAGTATCACATCTAAAACTATATTCGATCTTATGTTCTCACATTTAACAAATTTTACACCATCCTATGAGATTCAAAACAGAATTGGCTTTTACTCTTAAAATGTCATCAATACATCATCTTGACTATGTTAATCAATAAAATACATTCTAGAAGTAGGTATGAAGGTAAAGGCATGTTAATGACTTCAAATGTCTTGATTAACTCCTACTGCTAGTGATACAGCAATTAATATTTTTAAATGTTACAGAAGATACATTAGTTTTCTACTGGGTCACATTGTTGAGCATCACGGAAACCCAATGAAAAGGGGTGGTTTAGACCCAAATGTTCAAAGGCTTCTAATCTTAATGAGAAAAACAAATAAAACTAAGGTTTTAGACTCATTACAGCATATCTCCCTCACACACACACCTGCGTCCAGGTTAACTGCTCCTTTCCTGTGTGTTCCCATGTCCCTCTGCACACCAGGAGACACATCAGGTAATAATCTCTCTGAAAGTGCTTGAAGATATGCATTAAGCACCACTGACGGAGTCAACCTCCCACTCAGTTTTTTAACCTTCTTTGTTTCTGAGCCCTGGGAGGGAAATTATGGTGGGTGCCTATTGACCAATCTGGACCAAATGAAGACCAAATGCAGAGACCAGAGTAAGTAAATAGAGCTGTTTTAAAGGCTAGCTCCAATGGTAAATTAAAGATAGCTACTCTTTTTTAAAAAAAAAACACAGGGCAGACTCAGAGGTAGAGCTCATTTTCCCTTTTCTTGAGTCTGAGTTGGTCTTGTGACATGAAACTGTCTCTCCCAAGATTGGACCTTAAAGAGATCTGTGACTTCAACTTTCTTGGAACCCAACCCAATATTGTGAGACATCCAAGTCACATGGAAAGAGAACTGAAGCACAACTTGACAGCCCCAACTGAGCTTCCAGCCAACAGCCAGCAACAAGACAAAGTCAAATGAGTAAGCCGTCTTGGACATTTCAATCCAGTCAAACCTCTGGATACTGACGGCTCCAGGCCAATACCACATGTGGAGAAGAACTTCCCAGCTGACCTCAATCAACCCAGATTCTTAAGAGAGAATAAATGGTCGTTGTTTATACCACTAAGTATTTGAGATGGTTTGTTATGCAGCAATAGAGTCAAAGCCTTTCTAGACCATCTTAGAGACCAGGCTGAAACCAGTTGCTTCTTGACCCAAAATCATGAGGGTGGCTATGGTGGAGCTGAGAACACTTTCCAGTATAAAGCACGGTGGCTAAGACCATGGACCCAGGAGCCAGACTAAGTTTGAATTCTGATTTTGCCTCTTACTAGATACGTATCTAGAAGTTACTTCACTTTCCTGTGCCTCAGTTTCTCTTTGTGTAAAATAAAGATAGTAAAACTACCTACTTCAAAAGTTTGTTATGAAGATTAAATATCGGTATCAGTACACGTAAAGCACTTAGAGCAGTACCTGACACAGAGTAAGTATTCAGAATATGTTCTCTCTTCTTATTATTTGTCCTCTATTCTGTTTTACATCCAAGAAACCACCCCACCCACTCAAAGCTATGTGAAGGCTCTATACTTAGGACAGAGGGCTATGGAAAGTGACAGTGAGGGCCACAACATACTTATTTGATCCTGCACCATGATAAAATAGATCTCTGCCATGCCATAATGACTGTAATAAGTGCTAAATCTAATTGGCCTCATACCAGCACAGGAGAAAACCAAAACTCGGAGTAAATGCTCAGTTCCTGGGTCATCCGTGACAGAAATGCCAGACAATTAGTCAAACTTTGAGTATAAACTACTCCCAGGTATAAGGATCCACACATTGGGAACCTTATAACTGATCTCTGTTCATTAAGAATACTGAGCTTTACATAGATACAATGCAGGCCTAGAGAGCTATTTTCTCTGGCACAATCTAAGCTATCATCATCACACTCATCAACTTTGTTTTTAATTATTATTTTTTAGTTCACTGCAACAAACAGATCAGGTTACAGATCATGGTAGTATTTGCATAGGTCATAAAATTAATCCTAAATGTTTAGTAAAACTGGGTTAATTTATTGTTTTGGCTGCTTATTGTTTTGTTTTTTTTGGGGGGGGTTGTGGCCATATCATATATATACTTTGGGAAACTGCTTTTGTTAAAATAATTATTAAATATTTTAATGAAGCAAAATATAGTGGCAATTAATGCATTTTACAGTAAGATAAGAATTATTAGTAAATTGTATTTTTGCCCCAGCACTTTGTCTCTTCTATAGTTTAAAGTTATATCAAGAATCTATACCTACTTACTTCAAAAGTAATCATCCCAAATGAATTAACATATAGTAGAATAAGACTAAGTTTTTGAAATACTTGGCATTCTATCTCAGCTCTTCAATATCCAACCACAGCACTTCTCATGAGACTTTTCACTAGAGCCCCAAAGCTGTCCATTTGTCATTTCCATGTATTTCTATTCACAAAATTATTGTAGATTCAATTATACTATTCATATCCTGATCTTTGGACATGGTTTCATCTGTTTTTCAAGACAACTATGATGGACCCATAAATTTATACCCAAGGAGCTCAATCAATTAGAAGTTCTGGGGAAAATGTGTCAGGTTCATGCCTATCTTCAGCATGATAACATCACTCATCCACATTAGTTATTCTTCTTCTTTTCAAATTAGTTATAAGCCTTGGGTCAGCTTGAGAAAAATTGATATTTTCACTTCATGCCTGATAATCATGCCTTAAATGGTGACTACCAAAGATGCAAATTAACTGCAAATTATGTAAAAGATGCATAAATTAAAAACTATGAAATTTAAATTATTAATGCAGTAATAATTCGGCTTCCAGATTTCTTCTGCAGATGCTAACAGTGTCACTATTTTATATCACTGAATGCAAACTAGGGATTTTAAATTGAAACAGGGAACATCATAGTTTAGGACTTTGCCTCTTAACTTTTCAATTCCCTCTTCCTTTCCCTTGCGTTTCCTCCTTTGTCTCTGTGCTTCGAACTCTATTCTTTCGTGTCCCCTTGACTTCAGCCCTATGTCACTACCGGAGCTTGTCAATTACACACTCTTCTGCTTTAGCTTAAGATGTCATCCTCACTATTTTGTATGTTACAGTACATCAGTGTTTCCAAAGGACTGAATCAGTTCGATCATGACAACAACATAAAAGCTTGTTTTTCCAAGGGCATCTGTATGTTCATGGGTATTGTGTTGTTATGTGATTACACACAAAAAGTTTAAGAAAATATACCATTTCAGTAGTATTATTCATAGTCACTACTGGGAATACTTCTGTATCCACTATGTAGCTGATCACAGCAAAGAATGCGAACAATCAAAATTGAACTGCGGAAAAAAACCTCATGTGAAAAAGAAACTCTAGCGAAGTTAAAAAGTATTCAGATTAGAACTAGGTTCTAATAATTATTCTTTGAATAAGGGGTCAACCAAAGTTTCCAGACTAGTAACATTTTGCTCTACTTGCATTTGTTTTCCATAAATTGAGCTCATCCAGGGTTTCAATGCTTAAATTAACAAAGTATTACGAAAATAAATTATGAACATCTCTAACTAATAAAATCGATTTAGTTGGAGTAGAAGACATTTTACCAACTTGCCCTTGTAGAAAGAAAGATGGGTACAATTTCATCAATAAATAACAAATTAATAAAGTAAACCATTTGCATAAAATGTATTTTGAGTTTCTCACATAAAGATGTCACAGATTTCTCAAATACATCTCTACAAATTCTAAATCTTGATTTTACCATGATTTGTATAAAATGTTTTTAAGTAGCGTATGTAAATATCTCTAGTAATAACTTAATTCAAGTGCACTTATGTTTAGCAAAATTATTTCAGGGGGGAAAAAGTCACAAACGTTTACCTGGCAAGGTTGTTTCATTTTAATGGCTATGACATGGTATCTGTAACAGCAGAGTTCACAGGTCCAGGAACCCCTCTCACTGATCCACTTTAGCAGGCAAAGCTGATGCGTATACCGAACTGACCCGTCACACCGGCAGGGGTTCAACAGCTCCCCCTGAAAAGAAAACAGCTCAGTGTGAATATTTATGCTTGTGTCTCTATTTTTAAAAATCTAACACTTGCATTCTTTTCTTTCAAAGCCATTTACCCAGAAAGATATCACCATCATACTCTATCCAAAAGAAGGAAATTTAATTTTTATACCTCTGATGCGAATGAAACTAAAGTCTTAAAACTATTTCAAAGATACTGCTTGGAGTTATGACATAAATGTTCTACCAACATACAAAATGTCTGCAAGATGTAGCTCCCGATACTCTTGGGGGAAAGCTGTACTATTAAATCTCTTTAATAACTTTTAAGTGGATGGTCAGATGCATTTCCTCTGCAGTTATTCTTAATCATTGCTAAAGAAGAAATGCATGGCATCCCAGAAAGTAGCTTGCAATAGCATTATGCTTTTATTTTTTTCTAAATGTAGCATCATAAATATTGACTTAGGGCACTATATTCCTGAAAGCCTGCATATTCTTACGCAATTTCCTCACTTTTAAAAATATTAAACCTAATGTTTTCTCAGACCACACATTTTGTAAGAGTGATATATTATCCTGTTGTCTCCGTGAGTACTCTCATATAACTTTGCATGCACCTCTAATGGAGTTTATATTTTAGAAATGTTTGTAATAAAACATAAAGTACATGGTTGCCTAAACAGCCTTTCTTTCACAGGACCAAGGTACATTCCTATTTCTCTTGTAAAAGTGGAACACGCTTGTCACATCACGGAGATGAAGTCACCAAAATCTGCACTAAGGAAAGATGCGGCCCTTTTGGCTCTGACACGACCCACCCCAGTTTGTACTCTGAGACGATCTGCCCCAGGATGCGTTTGTAGAGAAAGGACATAGGCTCGTTCCTACGTATAAACCAAAATCCATTTAGGAAATAAGAGATGCTGATGGCATTATCATTAAAGCACCTGAGGAATGTGTAACTGTAAAACCAGATGGGAAGAAAGAAAAAAAAAAGTGTAGATCAAATGAAACCCTGTGTTCGCCACCGGGACGTCTGCATCTCTTATTTCCTA